AAGTAGAAAAATTCAAATATTTATTATCATTTAGCACAAGTAAGGCTAGAATATTTCAGATATTATATGAAACTTAAAAATGGTTATTTAATTATTTTTTGAAGACTACAATTCTTTAAGGTTATTTATTTTTGAATCACAACATAAAAACAAAATTAATTTTGTCAAAATCGGGTTTTTCTAATAATTCTAATCTTTCTTTTTCGCTGTTCATTTTTTAAATTACTTTGAAATTATTTTTAATTCAATAGTATTAATTAAATCTAATTTTCTTTCAATAATTTTCCTTGAAATTGAAAATCAAAACATATTTTCTACTAAATAAATAAATAATAAATTTACACTTATCACTGTACATTTTTCGGAGTACCTACTCAGTAATCTAAAACTATAGTAGATAGATTAATAATAATTATTCTACTTATAACGCAAACAATTCAAATTTATCTAATCTCGCATTTAAATTACATTTTAATAATTATATATGTTTTTGTATAAATTATACCTGCTAATTTAGACTACTTATATTTTTATGACCACCTAACACTTTAATACAAACAAACCAAATTTAGCAAATCGATTAAATAATTGAAACAACTTGTTATTACTATGTACAATGTACATTATATGTTAACTTACTTAAATTCATGGACGGATTCTTCTTTGAAGTTTCTTGAATCTTAGGGAATTAATAAAAAAAAAATATCGAAATAATAAGTATGATAGAAATTTAAACATAAACACTAAAACAGGATATAATTTCGGAGGTTAAGTCCCTCCCCATTTCCGCTTTGCTTAAATTATAAAGATTTTACATACCTAAATACCTACATAAGTATTACATTTGTTGTGATTTTAAATTCTTAATGAATTTTATAAGCATATTATTTATAATCATCTAGTCATTATAGTTATTAGTGTTATTACCATTGATTAAAATTATTGTATGTAAATTGTACATGTACTCACATACTTGTATTTATAATCAATGTTATTACTAATTAGTAATTACCTAAGATATAAAAATTAAGAAATTAATTGAAATATTTTAATAATGAACAGTAGCATATTGAGATTTATGTTTTAGAACTAATATATTATATCACTTTTTGTAGGTAATTTATGATGAATACTAAATATCTAGACAAATTTGCCTATTATATTATTATTTATCATGTATATAATAATAATAATAATAATAATATATTTATATAGGTTATACTGGTAATATTATGTACAGTTAAATATGTGTGAAAATTGTACAAAGTAATTAGATACTTAAATACAATTGTACATTCGTACATATTATTTAGTCATTTAGGTATAGAAACTTGAAATTAGAGATTATAATTAATAAATTAGTTTATTAATTAAGTTATTATTACGTATTTTTGATTAAACATATTAAATTGTAATGTGTTTTTATTTTTGTATCTATTCATATTTTAAAGCATTAAGTTAACTTTCATCTTCACCTTTTAAGTTAATTTCTGATAGCGAATCGTATCTTATAAATATTTTAGGAAACTAAAAAATAGAAAAACTTCTATATCTATTTTTCTTTTTTAATAATGATTAGGTAAAACTAATAAAATTAGCGGAACACAAATATTTTTATTATGATATTATGTCATATATAGAAAATTTTACCTGATACAAACATTTAGTTAAATTTTAAAACATTTACCTACAATTATTTGTTTTTTAACTACAATAAAAGAATAAAATGATAATGGAAATTTTTTTTATGGCCTAATGAAATAAGTTCCCTGCTTAAAAAACACATCTAGATAAAAACTGAAATTACTTTTTTGTATTACCGTGTGCTTTGTATAATTTTATTGTTTTATGAACTTATATTGTTATTGGACATTATTTTTTTTGTAATTAATTAAATATTCAACATAACTAATTTTATGGGTCTATAACTTCCATTTAAATATTATAAACACTTGTTGTTTAGTTGGTCGGCATAAAATATTTAAAATTTAAATATTATTAATTATTATGATTTAAGACGAATGTAAGAGGCTTAATCGTTCAAATAGATACTTAATCAACATTTTCCAAAGTGAACACAACAATTTTAATTTCTATCCAAATTTCAAATATATAGAAAATATCTATACGTAGTGTAGTAATTAATAAAAGGGTATAATATGTATAGGTATCTATTTTTTAAAATTACATTTCATCATCTTAAGCAATAACGACTACATAATATTTATACCTAATAATAGTAAAAAAAATAATCAATGATTAAAATGTTAATATTATAATACCTATATTCGATAGTAGTATACAAATTTACTTTACAAAAAATGTATTCTAGTTATTTGGCCATCAATACTCGCAGTATAAAACTATAGTGAATTTATTTGAATCGGTACCTAACTTAAATTGTAACTTGAGAACCCCATTTATTGTTTTATTTGGGATTATGGATTCAAGATTTAATTAATACTAACGACTAATGTAAAAATATAGGTACCTACTAGTTCACCCTTTTTGTCATATTTAAATTAAATATAAGTAGATAATGGGTATGCGTTTTGACGACAAATAATATTATAGCTAGGCAGAAACGTGCTCGTATTATTTAATCATAATATATTAATTATAAAATAGAAATACTGATAAATTAATGAAGTTGTTATGTAGGTTAATATTTAAATCACATTTCATTAATTAAATAATTTCTAGCTATGTATGTACTATTTATATAAGAACAATAAAAACTATGTTACGGTTCGCACGTTTGAGACAAGTACCTACCATACCTACCTACTTATCTAAGTTTATTTTTATATTATTCTTTAAATGTAGATAAGTGTGTTATAACAATAGGTACTTACTTATTTTTATTATACCGAATATTACCTACGGCAATAAGTACTTTATCTTATGGAGGTGCGAAATTAAATATTTTAGAATACGATTTATACATCAAATATATATTTTACGAAACAATGAATGGCTTTGAGTTTAAAATTCAGATTGTTGGATAATAATTTAATTTGATATTTTATTCTATTAATGTAGGTCATTTATTTATATTTTAAATTTGATATTTATTATTTTCATCTATAGTGTACTTATTATACTTATACTATAATTATCTGCAACGCCCAGCTAGATGTATGGTGTTTTGAAAAAATTAAAAGTACATAATATAACCATTATTAAATATATATTTTAATATATTTAAAATATAGCATATATCTAATCCAGCTCATATCACATAAAATGACTTTAGACAAGAATTTATTAACGAAACTAAACGGGCTTAAGGAAATAAAAACTTCAAAATTTCAGATTACAAGTCTCTATGAAGGACGCATCGACTTCTGTAAAGAATATAGGCCATAGCAGGGTATTAGAATATGTAGAGAACAACGTGTGGTATATGAACTTACTGAGTAAGTCTTACTCGCGAGATTGTTGGTACTCGGACGGAAAAATTATAAACAGACCAAAATGACTAATTTTTTTCACACTAAATTGAATATTTGTGTATGCACATGGCCAATTTTTTTTTTACGTACCTATGTATTAAATTAGACATTGATGATCATCAACATTTTCAAATACGATTAAATCTACATAATTTTTTAATTACCTACATTTCAAAATAAAATAATGATTTACATTTTAACGTAGCGCTATAATGTTCTTATTTCACACATTCACTCTTCATGAATTTCAACCATGAACCGTTTATTCCTTCTTAATAGCGAACAGTCTCAGTCACCGGAATGTTTGTTGTCCGCTTTTCAGAAATTTCTCTGAATATTCTTTCGAATTATAACCACGAACTAAGATTATAACTAATAAATGATACCAATAACCATAACCGTGCATTATTCTGTAATTTGTAGTGATAATTATCTATGGTGATAACGCTACAACAACAATTGTGATAAAAATTTTCGTTCAGAAAATGCTACAAGCACGTGACAATACGAATTGATAGTAAAATATTTGAATATCATCATTCTATAGATCTGTAAGTTGTAGACTATTTATTCGAATTGTCTGTACTCGATTTAAAGAGTTTATTATTCCGTACAATAATTTAATCAAATAAAAATTTATTTTGTCGTTATATCATTTACGTGTCAATCCGCAGTCTCCTATTAATCGTGAGTATTGAGGATTTTGTAATATTTAGTTTTAAAATGTTTTTTTTTTTTTTTGTTTGTGAATTATAAATTGTCGAGTTCTTTCATTTTTGAACGAAATAGAATTTGTTCGTTGCAGCTCAGAGTATCTCATTAAATACGTTTTTAATTTTGCAGACATATCATGGATAATGAGTACAAAGTTGGAGCATTGTGCGAATTGATTGCATTTAATGGAAATAAAAATAAAACAAAAAAAGGTAGGATCTTATACATATGTTTATTAATTTTTAATGATATTATGGCCTACTTGTCTTGTTAACTACCTACCAGAGTTATATTATTTACAGTAAACTATAACATGGTAAAGTTCTTTATTTGTTTTTGTATTGTAATTAATGATCACCTTTTAAGAAAAATATCATCAATTAAGTGTAAAATCGATGTAAATATATTATTTCACCAAATACAAATTTTTTAATTTTGATTAAAATAAGCACTTTTCATGACATTTTAAATCAAATAAAACATATTCATTATTATATTTTTTACCTAAAAGCACCTACATATTTTGTTAAATATTTTGTATTTTATAATTAACAGGTATATCATAACCCATATAATCATTATTATTCTATGAAAAATATGTTCGATCTATTATAGATGATGAAAAAAGAATTATCATAGTGAATAAAATAAAATAGGTAAATGATATTTGATATTTCCATATCTATTATACAGTTTATTATTCTAGTACCTAACTTATTGTTCTTGTTTATTTATTCATTTTTTCTCTTCAGTATATTGGATATTTTTAATAAATATTTCTGAAAAAATAACCATAATATTTATATATTTGTGTGTAAAAGGCTGTATCCAAATTATCAGAATATAGTCATATAATCTCATCAGATTTAAGACATTACAATTAATCTATATTGTAATAAAGTATTTTGTGTTTAAATTAGAGTTATAAGTTAAATTGATCAGTGATAATTAAGAAAAAACCGGGTACATAAAATCAAATAATTAGGTTTCATGATTTTGAGTATTAAAAGTATGGATTAAATATACTAATATTTTAGATTACCAACTGCAAGAAGAAGAATTAAGTCAATTAATGTATTAACCATAGTCCCTTACTTTATTTTTATAGCTTAATTGCTGACCATTTGTCAAATTTACAAATATAGCATAACAGAATTTAGCCCGCTCTGTAGCTAACATTCATAATTGTCTTATGGTTAGTGTTTAATGGTTGAATTAATTTATAAATAATTGGTAGATAGTGTATATTATAATATGCAACAGGTTTTAGTAGGTAGCAAACAAGTCGAGTATCATATTATGTTACAAGTATATAAAGATTGTAATTTAATTAATTTAAAATTTGTATTAATGTATTTTATAGAATATTAAGTTAAAAATTAAAATTCACATTATTCAATATCAATTACATTATAACTTTAATTTATGTATAATAATGTTTTATACTTCAGATAAAAAGAAAAAAGACAATATCGAGCGTCAATTCCAAACAGAATCAAACTTGAATGATTTGCCTAAAAATGAAAATGCAGAAAAATCTAAGAAAAGAAAATCTAAGAATTCAAACGAACAATCAATAAAAAAAATTAAAAAAAATGATAAAAATTTGTTAGATTCATCCTCACAAATTGAAACTGTTGATATAAAATCAGAAATGATTAATAAAAAAATGAAAAAATCTAAAAAAACAAATCAAATTAATGAAGACCCAAATTCAGAAGCTATTTCTCCTACAACTTTTGAAAGAAAAATTAAAAAAAAAAAGAACAAAATATTGAAAAACGGTTCAACTAAGCCTAATGATAAAACTAAGAATATTGATAAAAATTCTTTAGTTTCTCCACAAATTGAAGCTGTTGATTTAAAACCAAAATTATTAGTGTCAACTAATAAAGCAAATCAAATAAATGAAAAAACACATTTAGAAGTTAATGAATCTAAAACTTTTGAAAAAAAAATTAAAAAAAAAAAAGACAAAAAATCAAAAGACAATTCAACTAAACCTAATGATAAAACTAAGAAAATTGATAAAAAATTATCTATGACTAAATCATCGTAAGTGTTTGTAATATTTAAAATAATAATATAATGTTTATAATAATTTATGTTTATAATAAATTTGTTATTAGAGATGGAGATATAAAATCTTCTGAGGATTATATTGAAAAAGAGTCAAGAACCGTGTTTGTTGGAAATGTTCCGGTTAATGTTAAAATGTCGGCAATAAAAAATCTATTTAAAAAGTTTGGAGAAGTAGAAACTACTAGGTTAAGAAGTGTAGCTGTCAAAAATCTTGACGTGCCGAAACGTGTTTCTATAATGAAAGGAGATTTTCATCCACAGAGAGATACTGCTAATGTGTATGTACGTTTCAAAACCATCGAACAGGCACAAAAAGCATTGGTTTTAAATGCCACACAGTTTGAAGGACATACAATAAGAGTAGACATGGCTTTAAATACAAATCATAAGCAAAATATGAAAAAAGGAATTTTTATTGGAAATCTACCTTATAGTGAGTTATTAAGTTAAATAATTTTAATTATTTACTTTTATGAAATAAATTTCTATATATTCATTCATAACACTGGTAATCGATCCCCAGAGACAAAATTACATATGATTTAAGGTGGGGTAATCCGCAGTCCTCCTTGTTAAAGCAGCCTTTTTGGTAAAATTTTGAATTATTTTAACAAATTTAATTTGTAGTATTCATAGGAATGTAAAATACAGTATATTATCTTAATCGTTTAAGTAGGTAAACAAAATCATTGAATGTTGAAATTGTTGCATGCCAATATCAGATTCAAATCCAGGGTGTTATTTTAAATGAAAATTACAACTTTTAAGAACAGTAATTTGTTTATTACGTATAAATAAAGTTCACGTAACTGATAAAAAAAATGGCTGAGTGTTGTGAAGGTGCTCAAGTCTCTGTGGCTCTGGTACATCTCTGTTGTTGCACTCTAGGCTCCCTTATATATGATTTTGATTCCTTGTTATGACAATTTGAAGCCTTGCAGGTATCCTTGTACTTGTTATTGTAAAAGAGCATCTGCATTCGATAATGCATTACAATATTATATTCTAATTGCTAATGTGGAAATATGTTGTTAAGAAGTAGATGATCACACTCGAAAATGCATTCTTATCCTAATGCAACAAGATTCATAATAATGTGCATCTACTATTCCGTGTTAAGATCATTAATAGTATGTGCAACTCTCTGATACTTAAATAATGCTGGTTTTCCACACATAATATATATTTTATCTATTTTATGATGAATTTAGAGATTACGATGGTGTTTATCTTTTATTGCTATTTACAATAATAGTTGCGATAACACAACAATTATTTACTAATATCTGAGTTTTTAGTTTTTACTGGCCCTCAAAATTTTTTTTTTTTGATTTTCTGGACCTCCATAGAATTTTAGGATTTGTCACTCCAACAATTTTATCATTAATAACCAAATTTTGAATACTTCACACTTGATTTATTGTTAACCATTATGTTCAGTAATTTCTTAAGGACTAGAAAAAAAATTCAAAGCTGTTTTAGATTTGAATCTGCTCAAAAGCAAACCATATATTTTAGCATCTGTTAGCCATTCAAAGTTTTGATTAAACTGGGTTTCACCTATTTTCATACAAACTTGAAAATCAATATTTTTGTACGAATTTAATCCTATTGGTTTAATAAATAACTCACAACTAAGCCAGTCTACTAATTTTATAGACAATGATGACTTTTTTGTATGCATTATGCCATCATCTTAATTGTCTGATACTGATATCTACAGTAACTGCAGTTTAATCTACAAATGTTCAAGCACCAACTTTTTTAGATATAAAAAAAAAAGAAACAAAAACTTTGCACTTATTAAATCAGTATCCAATTGTGAAACAAGTATTTCTCAAATACAATACAACTATACCTCCCTTAGCCTCAGTTGAGAGATTATTTAGTGCGAACTGTTGAATACTCATACCTCGAAAAAATAGTCTAAAAGACAACATTTTTAAATTATTACCATGCCTAAGGTCTACTAAAGAATTAACTATACTTTTTATATATTAATGACCACATCAATTGGCTTATATTACACATAAAGTAATGATATATCATATCTTAATATTTATATAAAATAACTTAAATGTGTCTATGATTTGTTATGTATTTAAGTTATTTTTTTTTTTATAATCAGTTTTTTATAAACTACCTAAGTATTATTTAAATATTTTTTTTCTTGAAATTAAACATTAACTTGATAATTTTATTTAAATTAATCTATTATTTCATCTAGATAATTAAATTGAAAAAAATCTATTATTTTGTCTAGATAACTATTTGATTCTTTATGCTTAACACAGTGTATTTTATGACTGAATTATTTAAATTTTTGTTAATTTCTTACCTTAGGATAATCTTGTCGTGGTGTTTTCATTTGAGTAAATTATTAATAACTGAAAATAATTTAATTCTGAGTTTCCTAATTTGTTAACGATATTTTATTTTTTCATTTTTCTCTTATATCACCTGTTACTGCAATAAATTCAGAAAAGAAATTTTCAAAATTAAAATTTATTACAGAAGTATCATGCCATAAATATGGCTTAATGGATTTGCGGATGAATCAATAGAAAATTAGCATTCTAAGAAATTGATTTAATTACATTTGTTAAGTTATTTAGGATTGAAACAGAAAAAAATTATTTTCATTGTAATCATAATATTATTATCATATTTTGATGTATAATTCAAGAAAATATTAATTAACTATGCATATTTATTTATTTATATTACAAATTATCAACCCAATGTTTAGTAAATTGGGTTACAGATATAATGAAGAAACTTACACAGGGTGTTTTATTTCACTAATATCTAAACATTTTCCGTACTTGCATTAGACACCTTACTCTAATTAAGACGTAGGCTTTTTTGAGCTATTCCCTTGAAGAGCATCTTAAGCACAAACAAGTTTTACTATACTTCTGCCACTATCAATACCTACAGGTTTTGATATTTTTTTTTAATTTCTAAAATTTGTTGATTGTTTGGTTTTATCATTATTTTAGAATTAATTAAATCAAATCCATTTATAAATAAATAAATATGTGTATATAAATTTAAACATTTTGAGAAGCTTTAAAAAATTTACTGAAAATGTAACAATTGCTCAATATAGTGTGTAATATATTTATTATTTATTTGTAAAAATATTTTATTTTATGAAGATATTCAGGAAGATGAAATATGGGACTATTTCAAAGATTGTGGAACAATATCAGCTGTACGCATAGTCCGTGATAATGCAACAGGTGTAAGCAAAGGTTTTGGATATGTAGATTTTGAAGTGAGTTTTCATTTTTGATTTATTTATACATTTTTTTTAAAACTAAAATATGTATTTTATTCAATTACCTAAGTTTTATTATTTTAATTTAAAAATAAAACACCATTATATTCTTTTAAATGTTAAAATAGTTACTAATATACAAAAAGTTACTTTTAATTGAAAACCAAGCAAATTTAATTTTGTAGTGAATAAAACAACCATTTAATTTAGATATTTTTTAAATTGGTTTGTAATATTTAATGTATGTGTTTTTTATTACAGAATAAAGAATCTGTTGAATTAGCTATGCAAATCCAAGGTAAAAAGGTTCAAAATAGAGAAATTCGCGTTAAAAGGATTGAAACCAAAAAAAATACAAATAAGGTGTTTAACAAAAAACCCTTACCATTTAAAAGAACCAAACCTATTAGTAAAAGTAGTCAAAATTTCCAAGGAGAAATAATGAAACCAAAAACTCTAAAAAAGGTAATAATTTATCTGTGATATTCAAATTATTGTAATTCATATGGTAAGAATCATTTAGCATATTTATAAGTTGATTAATTTATCATTTACCATTAACCACTGAATCATGAATTATGTTTACATTATGATTGTGAATTTCGCAAGTGTATCAGTTGATAAAAAAAAAAAAAAATTGTTTATGTATTCTTTTAGCCCATACACATTTGATTCTTTGTTCATACATATCTTATTCTCGTCAAAATAATAGTATACTTATTCAGTGCACATACACTGAATTTTGTATGTTTCTAAACTTCCACAGATTGGTGGTTAATGATAATGGTGATATATGCGCATTCAAAACATGTTTTTGTCTGCCTCCCTGTGTTCTCTTATTTAGAATAGAGTATAAGTATAAACATAATTTTCAACTGTCACAATTAGAAACCGGAATTATATGCACTAATAATGTGGCAAATATGCAAAGCAAAAGGGTCAAAATATGCATTAATGTGCACAAATAATTGAAAAATATGCATCATGAATGTATATAATTTTAAACAATTACAAACATTAGAATAGATAAAACAAATTAGTATAACAAAATTAGTAGTGTTGGACCTTTCAACATCTAAGTATATCAACAAATTATTGAAGTATAAGAAAAAATATCATTATGTTTTTAAAATGGTTTAAACTAATAAAATATGAGAACATTTTTAATATTGATAATAGATGAATGCTAAAATTTTACACAACTTTAAGAAGTAACTTTATAAGTAATTTAATTTGTCAGATAATAGCTTATCAACACAGTATTGAACCAGAGAAGATAAAATTCTACATAGTGTTGATGATAATTTTTTTTTTTACCAGTATTGAAAAATTGCAATTTCTAAAATAAAAACATGAAATTATTTGATTACTTACTAAAACTGTAAAAAATATGCACATTATATGCAAAATAAAATTTGTTTTATGGAATCAATTGGGTCTGAATCGTCCACATTTCAAACCCTTGTATGAGTGCATACACTTAGTATGAGCATGCAAATGCATAAAATTCTGGTCTCTAGTCATAGTAAATAGGCATTTATTATATCGTTTAACCAATGCCTTTTCTCGCATCCAACACCCTGCCATACATGTTTTACCCAGTAAATCTTTCTGTTTTCCATTGATTGCCTCTATGTCTAAATTGTTTATTATAATTATAATTATAGTTGATTTTTTTTGTTGAAAATACACAATGATGTTGATTTAATTAAAAAATTGTCTGTTTATTTTAGAAACAGAAGCCAACAAAAACGGATTTAATGAGGAAGAAGATTGCTAAAAAATTAAATGCTTAATCTCGTTTGTATTTAATTATAAAATAAAGTTTTACATAAGTTTATTTTTTTTATTTGAATTAAAATTGTTCAACTTATTGATTTGTTAATTTTTATAATATTTAATTACCCAACTTGGGGCATAGTCACAAATGTGTGAGCAGGCAAGACATGCATCGCATGGCCAAAAATCATTGTGTGAAATCAATAATGCGTTGCATACTGAAGTGATTAGCCATTCGACGAGCTGTTTTTCACAGACGATAATGGCAGCTATATTATTCTTTACTATCTTGAGATGCAAGACGTTGAAGAGCACACTCTTTGCTTAATCCGTCGATGATATTTTCTCTACCATCCTCGAATGCCCTAATTCACTTGTCGAAAACTACCTGGTTCATAACATCTTCACACCGTATACCGTAGTTAATAATTCATAAGTATTTTCAGTTGCTCTCAAGTTTTACCAACATTGCTCCAACCTTTTATTATTCATGCTGAAAATGATCGGTGGATAATGTAGCACACATAGTGCCAATCAACACATACTTCCACTCACTGTGTCGATAGAATTTGAAATTAGTATGTAGATTGCTAAAAGCACGGGCTACACTGGAGGTGGTTTTCAACCTTATCAAACATATTTTTCGATTTCGAAAACAATTTAAACTATACCTCCACTATCGTGTAATACGTTAAGAGGGTTATTGCTAAATGTGTCAGAAGTCAAAGTAACGAACAACATAATTGGTAAACACACCGGCTGTGGAAACCCAGCTTAAGTAAATTATAAATCAATACATCTACGGTGTATAGAACAATCCTTTAATTGAATTACAATTATTGTTTTAAAAAAATCTATTGTTTTTAAATGTGTATGATTTTTTTTTCACAATTCCCAATAGAAATAATTTAAAAAAATTTTTAGACTTTAAAATAATGTTTATTATTCAAATACAAGAATTCCCTAGTAAATTCCAACAATGGATTTTATAATTTAGTTTAATATCATAAAAACTGTGAATTAAATTCACTAAACAATTCAAAAAACATTATGCTAAATAAACTGCACAAAATAAGTTCACAGTTATATATAGTTTAAAAAAAAAACAATGATAAATGTTAAATGTGGCTAAAATACTAAAATCATATATACAAAAACAAACCAAATAAAACTTTGTACTTGCAGATTATAATAGTTGTTATTAATTAAATTTATATCTTACAATCTAACTTATTTTTAATTTATCATTAATATTTGTGAAGTTAACAGCTCTGTTTAATAATTAATTTACAACTCATATGACATAATATACAATGATACAACAATTTTTCTTTAACAATTTTATATTTAAGTACAATTTATTTAGTACGATTAGTATCATTTTTTAT